CACAAGTACGGGATTAAGCTTTACATGCTTACAGAACCTGATGGATTGGTGCTGAAATTCCGCGTGTATCAAGGTTCATCAGATGAATATAGCGGAACTGGACATACAACCAAAGTAGTTATGCATTTACTTGAAGAAAAGTTAGGTCAAGGACACGCAGTATACCTCGACAACTTTTACAACAGTGTTGACTTAGCTACAAGGCTGCTGGAAAATGACACCTATTGCACCGGAATCCTAAGAAGTGACCGTCAGCACAACCCACAAGACGTCATGAAGGCGAAATTGAAACGAGGAGAAAACGAATCAAGGTTCTCTAATGGAATTCATATTGGAAAATGGAAGGACAAACGCGACGTCAATTATATAAGCACTGAATTTGGGAATGAAACTGGCATTTTCAAGAATAAGAGGGGAAAAGAAACTGAGAAACCTAAAGCCATTCTAAATTATAATAATTATATGTCAGGAATTGATCGCCAGGATCAAATGTTGTCGTACTATCCTTGCAATAGGAAAACGATAAGGTGGTACAAAAAACTTTTCATTCATGTTCTGCAAATGAGTTTGACCAATGCACACTATCTACATAGAAAGTACTCTGGTGGTCATCGCCTTCGTTTTTATGACTTTCGACTGGAGGTAATTGGAGATCTGTTAGGCCCAAGTGATGATGTACTTGTCCATCCTCCTAATCAAAAAAAGAATCCGAACGCTAGACATTATCTTTCAAAAATTGAAAAAACCATGAATGAACTAAAGAAAGGGCGTACTGAATCCAAAAGAGTGTCTAGGAAGGAATGCAGAACCTGTAGGAAAAACAAAATAAGGAAGCAGACAACGTTTGAATGCAAAGAATGCCCTGGGAATCCTGGATTTTGTGTAAAGTGCTTTGAAGACTTTCATAAAAAAATGTAGTTTTTGACAGTAGGTTATTTCTTACAAATTTTTTTTGCTATGAGCAAACTTGTTTGTTTTTTTTTTCAGTTTCTTGGTTATTTGTCTTGTAATCAAGCACGTGATTTTCTTTTTTAGGTATAATATCTTGTTTAGTTTTTGGGTGATATTCCTTATTTTTTTGCTTTGAGAAAAATTATTTATTTTGTTTTGATTTTCTATGATTATTACCCCTAAACCAAATATGTTTTTTTTTTATAAATATATACCCACCGTTATCTCATTATCAGTTTAGTTCTTTTGTGTTTCTTATATACAAATAAAAGTATTTTCAATAATTAGAGTGTGTTTTCTTTGTAATATTGCTAAAGTTTATAGCGACTCCGATCGGAGTGTTCGTCATCCAGTGAAAATATTAATGCCTGACGCCGACCACTCCGATTGGAGTATATTTTTTTTTCGCTAATTTGAGGCAAAAAAAAAATTAAAAAGTTAATGAAACTATAATTTACATGATTTATGGCATAAATAAAGGCAAATAAACAAATAAAACTAAACGGCGTCTGAGAGTGTCTCAAAAATATGAGCGGCAGTCAACCTGTTAATGGAGAACTCGATGACTACTTCATTCGGAAAGTTATAAAGAAATATATGAGAGATGAATTTGGACTGTTTCTCCTCTTAAAGATTTATGGAGGTGTTCGTCCGAACTCATTGGAATTTGTAACGTGTGCTAGTTTCATGATGCTGGTTTTAAAATTGTAATTTTAGAAATAGATTGCAATTATATTGAACTAGACATTGCAGGTAACTGCAAATTTCCCTAAAGGCATTATAATATAGATAACATCTCTTTTGAACAAACAAGAGGTACTAAACGGAAAGTTCTTAAAAAATTACTAAAATATTGTTTAGCACGAAGTATACAGGAACAATTATTTTTTTGAATGCAATAAAACGCTTCTTGCAGAATTGAAGAATCCCTTAAAAAATTGCATTTGAAAGACGGTGCTAGAAACGGCTAAGTATGAACTCCAGAGACTTGACAAATTTACTCCAAACCTTTCTCTTAGAAAAAAGTTCGAGGCATATGTTTATGTATGCAATTTGTTGGATTATCTTTACAAGTTTTTATGAACTCCAAGAATCGGTCAAATGTAATAAATGGGACTCGGCCGGCTATATCACATATTATAGATGCAGATGTTCGCATACTCGAACATATTAAATGTAAAAAATATTTTATTATACTGCAGTACATAAAGCAACAAAATCGACTATACTAATTTTAGAAATATTTACTAGTCAGCACGACACTATATTTGTCAAAAATGAGATATTAATGTTGCATGCCTAAGCAGTAAGTGCGCTAACTTCAGATAGGGTTTTGTGCACCTTTATAAATCAATTTAGTATCTGACAATGTGACTCATCAGTGTTACGATAATAGTAATAGTATAGTATCTAACTTAACCAAATACTGCTGTTTGCCTGCACTTACTTCTCTTCTTTAGTTTTTTATGGGCTCAATCCTTGAGGATTATTTACCCAGGTTAAGTTATTTTTTCAAATTTGGAAAAGCTGCATCAGACTTTTGTCCTCACTCTTCCACTGCACTTGATAATTAATTAAAACATTCTTTTATATTTTGTGATTTTTATTGGACTCCTGAACTCCCGATTCGGACATCGCCATTTCAATGTTAAAACGATGATGTCCGAATCGGAAATCCGCCACAGTTACTTAACCCTTAACTGACCCGTTGCATCTTAAATTTATCACAGATTAGGCGTTTTTGGACTTATTTGGTGGGGGTTCCGTGACTTCTCGTAGAGTATGCTTACAATTAGATACCTTCAGTACCAGTTTAATTAAGTGACCGCGAGTATCGACTTCTACGCGTTAGGGTTTGACCCAGTTGCGTGTGTGTTTAGAATTTATTTCACTATTGATTTGGTCGTTATTGACGGTAAGTATGCCGAAGAAGTACATGAGTTGTTTTTGAACAGTGAAGATTATGGCGATATTAGTGATACGCTTACTATCGATAGTAATCACAATTCGGATGAAGAATATTCCATAGATGACAATGTTGTCGATCAAGCTGAATCAGTTCCTGACTGCGGTTTTGTAGTACGGATTGTAGACTTGCAGAAAGTTATAATAAGGATTCTCGCAAGCCAAAAAATTATTTTTACAAGAAGAATTATGGCTTTTCATCTATATTTGCATCAATGGCCGACGTGAAGAGTAGAAACAATAAAAAAAAAACACATATGTTTTATGGCTTGAAGCTGTGGCTAGTAGAAAAAAGAAGAAATTGCATCTGCATATTATAGAGCTTCAGTTGAAAAAAGGGATGCTCTTAAAGTGTTGTATTGGAAAGACAACTGCTCTGTCCAAAGAATAAATCAGTGCCTATTTACCATGTTTTTCACGATAGTAAACTCAAACTGAAATTACCCGTAAATATTTAGAGACAGGCCACATATTAAGATTCTGTACACTATAAGGTGGAACAGAGCATGAAAACCACAAACGGAGCAAACATTTACAACATTACTGATTTTATCAAGGCCGTTGAAAAATCAAACGAAAAAAAAATGAACGAAATTTGTTTGACAAATGAAAGAGTTTTAAATTAGACTCCAAATCCAAACAAAAGGACATACTCTTGCTGTACGATATAACTGTGATACAGTTTAGAGTAGAGAGCCGATTACTATTTTATAAAAATAATAATAACGACGAAATATTAAAAGAATATAATTTTAAACTAGAAATTCCGAATACACTACGAGATCATTTTAGAGCTATCCCTACACAAAAGAAACAAGGCATAATTTCGCAACTATGCCCAATTATGCCTGAAAACGGGATGGTGACGTTTCACTCCCACCGTTTTGTCCCGCCTTTGCACCCCGCCCGTTTTCTCCCCAGTGCCTATTGACCCCTGACCGTTTCGTTGCCATTACTATTTACGCATACCTAAATAATAAAAAGAATAGAGAGACAACTTCAACCCCCTACACACTCACTTTACGTACTCAGAAACATACCCACCGCATATTCGACACAAAAAGCCCTTTTTAACATGCTAAACACATAAGAACTTTTCCGACAAAACTTAACATTCGTTAAAGCAAACTTCAATAGAACAGCTCTAATTAAGACCACCTCAACAAAAACCCCACCGAACCCTAGACAATCATCCGACAGCTTCAAGTTTGTGGGATTTTTCCTTTAGAAGTTAGAATTTCAATTTTTCGCGGCGAGATCTTCTTTAAAAAAAAAAAATATTTTCCAAACGGTCGACTAATTATAACATTTCAGGTGGTCGTGGAATACCTTAGAATGTCATGAAAAGAAAGAAAATGGCCTCTAAAAGTTTGTGCGTCAGAAATTTTTTGTTCACTATTGCATTTCAGCGGAAGATTATCATAACGATGAAGCCGTTACTAATTATAAATTTCATATTTATGCATATGTAGAATACCGCAAGGAGGTTATGTAAATGAACTTCGGGCTTTTATTGTTTTTTTTTTTTGGTATAATTTCAATCTAAATATCGATATTGTTAGTATTAAGAGAGTAGTATGTAAAGTGCCGCTTCTGTCCCAAGTTCGATCTCCAAACGAAGACCCACACTCTTAGTATATAAAAACAGAATTTGGAGAAATCCAGATATCGAAAACTAACAGGGCTTGAGAGGGTAGTCAAAGAAAGAGAAAGAATGAGAGAGAGAGATCACAAATGTTGCACATACATTTTCGGTATAAAAAACCTAATCTAATTTAGTGCACAAAAAATCATTCCTATATTTAATAAACAATAAAAGTTGTACCGTAAATTTGATGTCTATATATATCTACACAACGTTATACAATCATTGAAGTTCTATAATTATCTGACCTACGTCAGTTATAATAAATAGATCATCGACTCCACAATTCTCGTATTATAAAATGAATCGAGATAACCTTGAATTAATTGATTACAGATGCACAATAATTAAAATGTAAAATAGATTTCAATGAATAATTCTAATAGTATGTGGGCAAATGTAATATAAATTTTTTTTTGCGAAATGTAGGTTTATAAAACTAATTTTTAAGATCTGCTAAAAAATCATCATTAACATATTGATACAATTCAACATTGTCTTTATCCAAATAATGTTTATGGGTTTTCATGAACTCTAAAGATAAATTTTGATACTTGCATATATATTCCCAATCTAAGTTTTCCTTAAATTCGTCTATAAATTTTTCACTCAAAACTTGATATTTAGAAATAACACTCCAGTTAACTCGATTTAAATAAGTTCTAATAAAATCTTCACTAAGTTTTTGATGACGACAAATTAAGTTCCAATTTACTTCCTGTTGAAAGAAAATTATAAACTCCTCAGTTATAACAGGAGATTTAGAGATCTCATCCCATACTTTTTGACAACTCATTTATAAAGAAAAAAATTTTTATAAACTACTTTAACTCTAAGATTACTGTAATATCAGCTCCATTAAAATCAATTAATTCATCGTTTTCATCACATATTCTGAGTTCAATTTTGTAAATATTATTATACTGAATTGGATAATATACATGTATGGGTTCATAAATTATCAAATTGTTAAAATTAGAATTCAGTTTAAAACAAGAGATAATGTCGGTTTCTCTATGAATAAACTTACCACTTTCTACTAACATTCCATTAGCCAAATTACAGTGAATATTGATTGTTTCAACAGGAATAAATTTCTTCGAACTATTTAATAAATGTGATAAACTATCGGAGAATTCCATTATTTGATAATGAGAATTAATTTCTATTTTATTCCCATTTTGAACCAAATCAAATCCATATTTATTTAAATATGTTCTAAGTGATGTGTAATTATATTGACCTTCTGGAATAGCTAAATAAGTTCCGTTATAATAAATTTTATTATTCTTATTTGTAACATTATTTATCAGATTCGTTGAATAGAAACCCAATAGACCAACTTTGAGACCATTTGTTGGAAAATGTGTCTCAAAATGATAAGTCAGTACAGACTTGTTACTTTTTAATTTTAGTATCATTTAATATAAAAATTTTATTTATAAATGGATGTTTATGGATATTCAGTTGGTTCGAACTCTAACACAGATCTTTCAAATATTAAGGCGGAAATAGACCAATTAAAACAACATGGTTTACCATTAACTGAAATAAATAATGTTAAAACTCAAATTAACAGTTTAAGTGATCAGATTAATATAGTAAAGAAAAAACAAAACCGAAGATTAAGTAAAAATCCAAATATTGTTTCTAAAAATCAAGAACTTGAAGACCTCAAACAAGAGATTGAAAAACTAAAACTAAAAGGAGCATCTCAAGATGACGTGAACAAAAAAATTGAAGAGCTCAAATTAAAAACAGAAGATTTGAATAAATTAAGCCGAGAATTAGAAGAAGCTATCATTGAAATAACTATTGATGATTTAAAAGAACTAACAAATCGAATAATTAATCTAGAAAACAATCAAACTACCTTTATTAATAAAATACGAAATTTAGAAAGACTTAATAAGAATAGTCTGAAAAAATTAACACAATTAGATATTGTTAAACTTAATAAACAAATTGAAGAATTTAAAAAATCCGGGGCCCCTACTAATCAAATAGATAAGAAAATTAAAGAATTGGAGCAATTAAACACATATTTAAAGAATATTATAACAGATATTACAGATAATGATTTAACAGAATTAGACGAACGAGTTGAACACATTGAGGTTAATATGAAAGATGTCAAAAACAAATTAAGTGGACTTAACATAACACCAACATATATTTCTGTGAGGGGTAGAATTGTAAAAGCTCTTGATGCAGTAGACGATTATGATTTAGTAACGAAAAGACAACTAGCTGAATTAGAAAGAAGATTAAAAAATACAACATATTAAATATAATTGTATCCATTAATTTCAGCTTGCTTTAAATATTTTTCTCTGGGAAAGAACTGAATATTCTCAATAAATTCTTTTTCTCTCAAATATATTTCTTGATTGGTTAATTTCTGAGCGTTATTAAGATCTACCATTTGTTTATAAAATTTATAGCACACCCTGTATTCAGTTAATCTCTCATTTTGTCTAACAGATCGTTCAAATATCTCTGTTATACCAGAGAACAAAGATATAAAACATAATGGTAAATATAAATAGCCACTTATTCCAGAAACACTAAAACATAATTTTAACATCAATAATAAAACACTTAGTTGCGAATAATACTTAAAGCTTTTTCTGTAAACAAATAAACGTTTCTCTAGGTACTCATCCATTATTATTATTATTATTATTTAATTAACGAAATATATTAATGAACGCAACGTGATAATTGAGTGTATGCGCACTGACTAAGTATGAATCCATTTACTTGCAAAAGTAATAATAAAACACAACGCGATAATTATTGAGTGCATATGCACTGTTTGAGTGCACACTGTCATGATGAGTTCGAAGTGTAATGATGAAAATTTTCAAGGTTTAATCGCGCGCTAAAACAATTTTGTATCTAGTTGGAAGTATAAAATCATGCGTTCCATTGCAATCACGTCCGGATTGATGGAAGTAAATTAATCTAGAAATTTAGTCATCTATAAATATTCATTTTATACAGTTTCAGTTGCAGTCTGAAATAAGCGATCTTTTCAAAATGAGTGAAATTATTAGTGAATTTAGTGGAAAACCGAATGTTGAAGATTTATGTTTGAAAAGAGCACGTTTAAATAAAAGAAAAATTCAAAAACAAAATTCAAAGAATCAAATAATATTCCGTAGAAAAAAATTAGATGGTGAAATTCAATTATTACAAAATGAAATAAGTGATCTAAAAACAGGAATAAAAAAATGTAAAGAATCTATAATTTCGAAAAATATTTTAAATGAAACAAAAAATTTATTTGAAATGAAATCGGCAATTTCTGGTATTGAATATAGAAAAAAGAATAATTTACTAAAACAAAAGATTCATCGAAGAAGAATATATAGTGAAAAAATGGAATTTCTGGAAAATGAAATACGTGAAATAAATAATAATATAACAAATTGTGATAACTATATAGAACAAAACAGCCTGGAAGAAATGGAACTTAAAGACATGTATATCAGTAACTAGAAGATATATTAAATAATTATCAATCAATTATCAATTAATTATCAATCAATTATCAATCAATTATCAATCAATTATCAATCAATTATCAATCAATTATCAATCAATTATCAATCAATTATCAATCAATTATCAATCAATTATCAATCAATTATCAATCAATTATCAATCAATTATCAATCAATTATCAATCAATTATCAATCAATTATCAATCAATTATCAATCAATTATCAAAACCTTTTTAATACACCCAAAGTTAGTCTGAAGCCTAGAAAATGCAGAGGGGAAAAGGTGTGGAAAGTAATACTTTTTTCTTTTGGTAAGTAGTTTTTATCTTATTTCACGTGTTTTTTATTGATGGCTATTTATTTTATCTATAGTCCAGTCAATAATATATTAAAAAAAATATTTTTATTAAATGGAAAAATTTAAAATAACACCATTTAAAGAAATTGTACCGAATCAGTCAAATTTATTTCCAACACCTCTAAGATGTTTGATTATTGGCAAATCAGGTTCAGGTAAAACAACAATTTTATGGAATGTTATAACCAAGTATTGGATTTATTATGAAAGTTTATTAATTTTTACAAAATCAATTGATCAACCAATTTATCAAGAATTGCAACAGATATTTGTTGGAATAGATAAAATTGAATCGCATTTCTACGATAACTGTGATGATATAATTAATGTAGATGAATGTAAACCAAATAGTCTAGTTATTTTTGACGACTGTATTTTAGAAAAACAACAAACAATTAAGGATTATTTTGTTAGATCTAGACCAAAAAATATTTCTTGTATTTATTTAACTCAGTGTTATAGTATAGTCGATTTACAAGTAATTAGAACAAATTCTAATTTTCTAATTATTTTCAAACAGTCTCAACATTACATCAGAAAGATTTGGGAAGATTTTATAACAGAAATGACACTTAAAGACTTTTATACATTTTGTAAACAAGGCTGGGAACATGACTACGGTTTCGTTTGTATCGATTTGAAAAACAATAAATTTTACGACAAGTTTGAAAACGTTTCATAATGAAATCAACACGTTACGTTCTACGTTACGTTATGTTACGTTGTCACGTTACGTTATGTCGCGTTCTACGTTACGTTACGTTGTCACGTTCTACGTTATGTCGCGTTACGTTATGTCACGTTCTACGTTACGTTACGTACGTTATAGTCTATATCATGTTGTCTTATTAAATTTTCTATTACTTAAATATATATATATATTTTTTATAATAAATGGAAACAGAAAATATTCAGAGACGTTTAATAAAGAAAATTGAGAAAGTAAAAAAAACCAGAGAAAAATTAAAACGTGAATTAAAACATAATGATCAAAAGAAACCCAATCATTCTGAAAGTTTTCAAAATAAAGAAGATGTAATCAAAATTCCTGAAACTCCTAAAAGTATCACAGTTGAACAAGCTAAACAAATACAAAATATACAAAGGGGTTTGAATAAAACATTTAAAAAAGAAATTCTAAATGATCGGAGTGGGTTAGAGGAAAAACAAAAACAATTCCTTCCTATTACTACTGCATTACAAAAAGTTGAACAAGCTGTTAATAACACAGATACTGATATAAAAAAAATAATTCCAAATATTCCAGCTTTAACTTTACCAGAAATTAAAGAATCTAAAGATATGGAGACTCAAACACATGCTATGATAAGTCTAGGTCCAATTTCCTTACATTATTTAAAGATGGTACCTACAAAAAGAGATATAAAAAATATTTCAGATCGGTATGCTATTTACAACGATGCAACTAAAAATGCATATATGATTGGGAATATAGAAGTGTTCTTCAAAGATAATGATATCATTGTAGGTGAGACAAAGTATACTGGTACAACAGGTTTGTGGGAATTACTAACATCTGCCGACGCCCCAAATCAAAAATTATATACTAAAGACGACTACAATAACTATAAAAGAATTTTGTTTGATACTAATTGTTTATATCAAAATTATGACAAATCCACAGGAAAAGTTCGTTCAAATACAGGTAATAAATATCAAAACTTAATCAAATTTATATGGGCTGAATTAAAATCTAATTTACCAATAACACCTTTTAAAGGAGGATTTGGGTGAAACCCCTAAAACTAAAAGAGGCTCTGGAATAAAGGAATATACAGAAAATCAAATAGAATATAAATATATAGACAATCTCAATGAACTACTTAGAAGATTATATTTTATTGCATCTGAAGAAAGAGCTGGCAATAATAATTTTCACAATGAAAAATTAGGAGTTGTGCATTTAATTGCTAGAGAAATGGAAAATATTATTGATACTCCTAAAGGTATTGAATATTTAATTTCTCATGTATCTAGTTTACCTAATAAAATAATTAAAGGATCAGGATTATTAAATGATTTTATAAATAATTTACCATTTGAACTCCATTGGCCAGGTAAAAACTATCTAGGTCCTGAAATTGAATTGAATGAAAGGTTAGCAAGAGGTGATAAACCTGTTGATAAGTTAGATGAAGCAGCAATGGAGCATGACATATTTTACAGAGATCATAAAAATGTTAAGGAAAGACATCAAGCTGATGAGATTCTTGAAAATAAAGCTTGGGAACGAGTTTTAGATCCAAATTCTACGTTAAATGAAAAGATACCTGCTTGGGTAACAACGAATGCTATGAAATTTAAAAGATTTTTTGGAATGGGTTTAAAATAATTAAATATATACAATTTTTTATCTTATAAATGGAGTTGAATTTAAATGATAATCAATTAAAGAAAGTCTCTTCAGCATATAAAAAGAAAATTGGAGTTACTATTCAATTAAAGAATGAACAAATTGGCAATGGAAATAATAAATTCAACAAAATCAACGTCAAATTAATAAATTAAATAAGGCTAAAAATAATGGTACAGGAATTAGATTAGAACTTAAATATGATCAAATAAAATCAGGTGGTTTTTTACCGTTGCTATTAGCAGGTATTGGTGCTCTAGGATCATTAATCGGAGCAGGAAGTGCTATAGCTAATACCGTGATCAATAAGAAAGCTAAAGATAAAGAGTTAGAGGAACAGCAAAGACATAATAAAACTATAGAAGGAAAAGGTTTAAAAAAGAGTTTAAAAAAAAAAACAAAAAATAATACCGTTAAGCAATTATGATATATTATTATATTCAAAAAATATTAAAAATTTTCGAGGTTGTTTTATGAAAAATGAATTACCATTAGAACCAAATAAAAATGAATGTGGAATGTTAAACTTAAATAATTCTAATCAAAATGGATCTCATTGGGTTGCTTGGTTTAAAAAAGACGATTTCAAGTTTTATTTCGATTCTTTTGGAGATGTTAATCCACCGATTGAGTTAGTAAAATACTTTGGAAAGGATAATCTTTATTATAATGATGATAGATATCAAAATTTTAATGATCCGCCCATATGTGGACACTTATGTTTAATTTTTTTAAACACTATTACAAAATTTTTTTTCCTAATAAATGGAACCAATCTTCGATAAATATTCATCAAACATTATTAAAAACGAATATCAAAATTTTCAACCTATATCAACGTTAAACTTAAACACGGTTAATAAAAAAACTGTTTTTAAAATTGATGTGGGAGATAATTTTTTAGGATCTCAATTTCAATATTACATATCCGGAAAGGTGGTTAGGGAAGATAATAATAATGAATTAGACCAAAATAATACTGTTCACCTTATTGACAATTTTCCTGCTTTTCTATTTTCTGAAATAGAAGTTAGGAAACATAGTAAAGTAATAGACCAAATTGAAAGTGTTGGAGTTGCTAGTACAATTAAAGGAATTGTATCTTTCTCTCTAGATAGAAATGGTCCCACAATTAATTCAGGATTTGAATCAAATTACAAAGCGAACGTTCATTCTTTTTCAGTGGTTGGTAACCTGTCTAATTTTGGATTAGGATTCTTCAAAGATGTTAAAAATCCAATATTTAAAGGTGGTTTTGAGTTAATTTTTACTAGAAATGACGATCATTTTGCTATTCGTAAGGAAGCAACTGATCCAAGAGCAAAAATAATCATTGAAGAATTTCTTATTCGAGTACCAATCATAACATATGTCAAAAGTTCAACTAATTAATGACTTAAAGGAATTATCACAGAAAAATGAATATTTATTTAGCTTTAGATCGTGGCAATGCATTCAGAATAAGAATATTAGTGGAAAGACTCTTAATTTAGATATTACAAACATCTATAGAAATATACACAATCCTTTATTTGGATTTGTTGCTTTTCAGTCAAACAAAGACTCAAATTATAATCAAGATAAAAATTGTAGCGAATTTAATAATTGTAAAGTCAAAAATATTTGGTTTGAAGTAAATAGTAAACGATATCCTGAGGAGATGTTAGATTTAGATTGGGATAAAGAAAAATATTCTATTGCATATGACATGTTAACTCACTACAAGAAAGTGTTTGTTAAAACTCATAATGAATTACCTCTGATATATATTAATCCAGAACAATTTAAAAATGGTAAACCTTTCTTCGTTGTTGATTTAACTAGACAACCTCAAAACACCAGCGAATCCAAAAGCAATATTCTTTTACACGTTGATTTTGATGTACCAGTACCACCTAATACCATTTGTTATGTTTGTATGGTGTCTTACTCCGAATTTGTATATGACATTGTTAACAATACCGTTCGAGAGAATATATAAGATTCTATCAATTTTTTTCTACTTATAAATGAAGTCATATTGTGTTAAATGTAAAAGTAAAACAGGTAATATAAATCCACAATTCATTATAACTAAAAACAATAAAAAACTGTTAACATCAAAGTGCTCTATTTGTAATAAAAATAAAACATCTTTTACAAAAAAATAAATAATATAAATGGAAGGTAGTCAATTTTGTTATAGTAAACATTTTTTCTGTTTTTGTAAATTATCAATTTTAAATCATAAATTTTTAGATAAAAAATCTTTATATTGTAATTAGCCCTTCACAGCAAAAAACTAATTCTAAAAAGAAAATAAAATTATAATTAAATGGATTATTGTAGAAAGTGTAAAAAACAAACTAAAAGCATTGATCTTCCTAAATTTATTAAAAAGGATAAACGTTGGAGAAGAATATCGACTTGTAAGGTTTGTGAATCTGTTAAAAATAATATTTCCAAGTCGCCAGAAGATATTGAAATTGAAGAGTTATTTAAACCAGCTAGAAAAAATTTTGTCACTAGGAAATTTATTCAAAAAGGAATTGATGATACTTGGCAGGCTGATTTATACTCTTTTTATAGACCTAAAGGAAAATTAGAAGATCATTCATATAGTTTGAGAACAAAACATGAACCAGTTGATAATCATTATAAACAATTATTAAGGGCTAATGATGAATATAAATATATTTTAAACGTGATTGATACATTTTCAAAGTATGTTTGGTGTGTACCCTTAAAAACAAAAACTGGGATTGAGGTTGCTAACGCTTTTGAAAATGTATTTAATGAGAGGAGACCAAAATTGTTACATGTTGATAAAGGTAAGGAGTTCTATAATAAGGATCTTAAAAATGTTTTAAATAAATACAATATTAAAATATATAGTACAGGTACTGAAAATAAGGCTTCCATAATTGAAAGATTTAATAGAACTTTAGGAGATAAATTAAAACCGATTTTATATAAAAATCTTAGATGGGTTTCGGTGCTATCAAATATTGTTAAGACTTATGTTACATACTATACATATCATAGAACAATTAAAATGAAACCAATTGAGGTTAATAAGAAAAATGAAACTCAGTTGTTAACAACTGTTTATAATTATAAAATTTCTCCTTTGAAATATAAATTTGAAATAGGTGATCGAGTTAGACTCTCATCTTACGTAAATCAATTTCGAAATAAATTAAAAACTAATTGGACAACAGAAATATTTACGATTATTAAGATATTAAAATCTAATGTTAATTATTACAAAGTTAATAATATTGAAGAAGGTATTTATGAAGATGAACTACAACTATCTAAGTTATAATATCCATATGGTAATGTATTGATTTTATCAATTAAGTATCGTTTGTCATCATATGGTGATAAGGCTGTTTTCTTCTGTTCAACTGTATATAAATTGAGATCCTTAGAAACAATTCCATAGATTATTTCCTGTGTTGTTATAGTATTTAACAAACAATTCTTATATATGTCAAATTTCATTTTCTCGACATTACATTTTTTTATACCATTTTTTCTTTTATATCATTTCTAAATGCA